TGCTTGGCTATGTTATGCTATGCTATGATGTGCTAATGCTGCGCTGCGCTATGCTGCGCTGCGCTAAGCTTTGCTAAGGTAAGCTAAGCTATGCTACGCTACGCTAAGCTAAGCTGAGCTAAGATTGAGCTAAGCTAAGCTAGGTTAGGCCAAGCTAAGTTAAGGTAAGCTAAGCTAAACTAAGCCAAACTAAGCTAAGCTAAGCTAAGCTAACCTAAGCTAAGATGATATAAGCAAAGCTAAGTTAAGCTTAGCTCAGCTAAGCTCAGCTCAGCTAAGCTAAGCTAAAGTAGGCTAGGCAAAGCTATGCTAATCTAGGTTTTGCTAAGCTAAGCTAAGCTTACCTAGCTAACTGGGGGAACCGCGGGGCGGATACTGGGGGAACCGCGGGGCGGATACTAGGGGAACCGCCCGGGGCGTTTTCCACTGCCCGGCCCCTTTAAGCTTATAAAGTAAGAACCCTTCTAGGCAGAGCCTAGGTAGGGAAAAATCCTCCCCATACCATGTTTGGACTATTTGGAAGTACTCCTCCTGTAGAGGGACAGGCCCGACATGAACTTATGCTTATGCCGTCTTGGGCTTCTCGCGCTGACCGAGCGCCTGCCCGAGCCCGAATGCGGCTCGGTGGGCGGTGCCCTCCGCGCGGCCCCCCACCGCCCCGCCGAGGACGGCGCGGCCAGCCCCCCGCCGTGGCAGCGCGGGGCGCGCGGCGCGCCTGCAGGCCCGCACGCGGCGCCCGCCGGCGGCCGCTGGAGCCCGCACCGTCCCGCGCGGTCCCGCGTTCCCGCTGCTGGCGGAGAGAGAGAGAGAGGGAGAACAAAAAAAAAAAAAAAACGAAAGACATAGAGAGAGAGAGAAACAAAAGAGAGAGAGAGAGAGAGAAACAACAAAAAGAGAAAGATAAAAAAGAGGAAGGGAGAAGAGAGAGAGAAAGAGAGAAGAGAGTGAGAGAGAAGAGAGCGAAAGAGAAGAGAGCGAGAGAGGGAGGCCGCAGAAGCGCACCGATTCGGGCAGGCGGCTGTCCAGGCCCGCGAGGGTGGCGAGGAGGGCGGGGCACGCCCCCTCTGCGAACCCCGGGCTGCAGGGAGGCCCCAGCTCCCAGCGCGCGCCTTGGCCGCTCGCGCCTCGGAGCCCCTGGGTAGAGAAAGCGCCGCGCTGGGGCATCCGTCCCCCCCTCGGCGGGCGAGGCGTGGGCCGCAGAAGGGCCTGTCTGGCGCGGCTCACGCGAGGCCGGCCCGGCAGGGCCGGGATGAAGACAGGCGCGGGCGGCCCAGCCCGGCGGCGGGGGGGTGCAAGGGCCTCCCCACTTGAACCTAAGGTTGGGTCGGGCATGTCCTCCTACGTGCGGAGCTTGGAAGAAAAACGCAACGTGGTCGAAGATACCCAAACATGGTCCACAGAGCACGAAAACCCGTCGCCTGACTACTTTGACTGTTGCCATATGCTCCCCCCGTAGAGGGACGTGCCCGACGCAAACCCAAGGGCGACTGAGTATCGTTTAACCGATCCCCATCCCCAGCGGCGTGGCCTGGGTCCCACTGGCCGATTTGCCCCCCCAGATGGGGATATAGACCGTTCCCTTCGGGTTTCGACGGGTGTATCCCCAACTGGGGTGGTAATTTGGTGGGGGTCTCGAAGGGGATGAGGATGGGGATGGGGGTCGGATAAACGATACTGGGCGACAGGGCCCGAGAACCAGCGGCCGTGCAAGCCACGGCCGCCCCCGTCCGCCGCCCCACGCCGACGGCGCCAGGAGGCACCGCCAGCGAGGGGGCCAGGCAGGAATAGGGCAGGTGCAGGAGCCCTGCCACCCCTCGGCGCACGAGGGGGCTTACACCACCTCCTCCTCCTCCCCCCCCTCCTCCTCCTCCTCCTCCTCCTCCCCTCCTCCTCCTCCCGCCTCCTCCTCCTCCTCCCGCCTCCTCCTCCTCTCCTCCTCCTCCTCCTCCCTCCTCCTCCCCCCTCCCCCTCCTCCTCCTCCTCCTCCTCCTCCTCCTCCTCCTCCTCCTCCTCCTCCTCCTCCTCCTCCTCCTCCTCCTCCTGGGGGGGCCGAGTGCGGAAAAGTAGAGAAGGCCGGAGTGCACAGGAAGCCGGCCCCCTGGACACAGCCAGGGGCCCTCACGCGACGATGCTTGCCAAAAACCGCGCAAGGGGGTAACGGGTCCCGAACTGCACGGGTGATGCACCTGGCGGCACACACGCTCGACGAGGCAGACGGAGAAAACAGCGGCGCCGAGGGGCAGCATGAGTCTGGGGCTGGTGGCTCTCGGAGGCAGCGCAGCCGTCCGTCAGTCGCTGGACGGCGTCGGTTCCCAGCGCTGGTTGAAGGCATCCAGCCAGGCCAGGCGTTGGTCGTAGGCGTCGTCCGCTTCCGTGGTGAGGCGTCGGGAGAAGGCGTGCCTGACCATCGCGCCCATAGAGCTGTGGATGGCGCTGAAGGCGTCGTGAAGGCAGAAAATGAAGGCGCAGAAGCCGCATGCCCGAGGAAGCCACGTGGTCAAGGGCAGGGCACGTGGCAGGGATCGCAGTGCTCGCGCTCGGAGCCTGAGGCACTGGTCCGCTGTCAGCGTGTCGAGCCAGAAAGTAAAAGAAGAAAAAAGGCCATAAACACAAACTTTTGGCGCTCCGCGTGGATTTCTTGGATCTGCGCTGGACCCCCCTCCCTGGCGCGCGGAGCGCGCCAGGGGCGGCGCCAGAGGAGCCGCCAGGGGGGGCCCAGCGCGGATCCAAGAGATCCACGCGGAGCGCCCGAAGTGTATGTTTATGCCGGTGTTTGTTCTTCGAGGGAGAGGCGCCTTCTTCCGCAGTCCCCGGGGTCCACGGACGCGTGCCATAGCCGACCTGCGACTCCCACAGAAAGACCACTTCGGAGTGTGCGCCATCGGAAAAAAGGGGGCGCTGCGTGCACAGGCAGGCAGGAGGAGGAGGTGGCGGGCGAGCAGGAGAGGCGGGTCGGAGGTCGGGCGGGCGGGTCGGAGGTCGGTTTAACCGAAGCTGGGGTGAGGCAGGTGGGCGGCCAGCGCCCCCGAGCTGGCGCGCAGGCCCGGCGAGAGCGGAGGCCGTCGGGGGCCGCAGGGGCGCCGTCGGAGGGCTCTGACCTGGCGCGCGGCGGGGTCGCCGGCTCAGGCGTGCAGGCCTGCAGCCTGGTCAGGTCGTGGGGCGCCGGGTGCGTCCCTCTGGTGGCCTCCGCCGCCGCCGCCTCCTCCTCCTCCTCCTCCTCCTCCTCCTCCTCCTCCTCCTCCTCCTCCTCCTCCTCCTCCTCCTCCTCCTCCTCCTCTCAGCTTTATTCCTATGATGTGTCTTACTAGTGTTTTCGTAATCTGAATACCCGTATTCGTAGCATGTGTAGTATTACTGGTTGCATGTGTATGACTGGTTGATCATGTCTAGTAGCTGTATAGTATTGTTACCACTCGTTGTATCCGTAGTACTGGCATCATTGGTATTCGTCTTACTCTTAGTAGCGTTGTCGTGCTCGTACTGTTCTTCGTAGTACTAGTGCTAATATTACTAATTGTCTTAATCATCTTACTATGAGTCGTGGTATTAGCCGCAATTTGATTATTATCATCATTCATAGTCGTCGCAATAATATTCGTATTAGCTGTAGTGTTAGTCGTGTTTCTTATTTTCCTGATAGTAGCATTATGCTGCTGATTAGTATTGGTCGGTTTCGTCATATTCGTCGTCTTCATATTATTCGTTCAATTCAACGTATAAGGCTGATCCGTAAACATAAGGTATTCCGATTATGATGAAACGTATTAGTAGTGTTCGCCTTGTTAGTACTGGTCGTCATATTCTTCGCGTTGGCAATATTGGCAGTCATGGCATGAACCGCAGTTGTGTGCACGTTATTCCTGGCAGGATGAAACTTAGCCGTAGTGTCAATAGCCTTGGTAGTAGTTGTGTGTGTGTGTGTTCGCTTTCGTCGTCGGTGTCGTATTCCTGTGCTGGTTAATATTAGTAGTGGCATTATTAGTATTACGAACACTAAAAATACGAATAATAATAATAATAATGATAGTACTGAAATAGTACAGGTAGCAATAATAATAATAATATTAAGGAGAATAATAAGAAGAATCCGAAAAAATAAGAAACAGAAGAATAAGCAGAAGAAGAACAAGAATCGTCCTCCTCATCCTCGATCCTCATTCTCTCATACCCCTCCGCCTACTCCTCTTGTGTACCTTCTTGTGGGGGGGGTCGCTGCCGCGACCGGGCGCGGCGCGGAACAGCAGACGCGCCACCACGGTGCCAACGAAAACTTGTCTTGGGATCGCTTGTGAGCGGGGTCTGGCCGGGGGTGGTTGGCAGGACTCAACGCAAAGGACTCGGGTGTATTCAGAATAAGCCCATATGCAGGGATCGGTGCCAAAGGTATGCCCAACGTTGAGACGCCATGCAGGCCAAGAGGGGGGGGGGAGTTGAGGGGAGGGGAGGGGAGGGGAGTGGAGGGAAGAGGAGGAGGAGGAGGAAGAGGAGGAGGAGGAGGAGGAGGAGGAGGAGGAGGGGAAGGAGGGGAGGGAGAAAAGGGAGGAGGAGGAGGAAACAAAAGGAGGGGGGGAAGGAGGGGCAGTGGCGGAGGAGCGCACACAGCTTCTTTTCCGCCGGGGAGAAGACGGGGAGGGAGAGAGAGAGAGAGAGAGAGAGAGAGCGCACAAGGGGGGAGGGAGAGGGAGGAGCGGGAGGGAGAGAGAGAGAGAGGGAGAGAGGGAGGAGCGGGAGGGAGGGGGGAGAGGGGGAGGGAGAGGGAGAGAGAGAGAGAGCGCATAAGGGGGGAGGGAGAGGGACACCCTTGGTGGCTGTGGGGGGGGGGCGCGAGCACGAGGGGGGGAGAGCTGTGGAAGCGAGGAGGCGGAGGGGAGGCGGAGGGGATGAACAGAGAGAGGGAGAGCGGGACCAGAGGAGAGGCGAGGAATGATCCCACGCTCACGTGCCAAGTGCAACCGAAAGTTCTAGACGGGCGCAGGAAGACGGGGAATGGATCCCCGAGCCTTCTGGTACTGCTCTATCGCCAGTATCCTGAGGCGGCAGCACAGTGCGAGCACGCTGCTGCTGCTGCTGCTGGCCCCCCTCGACCGTCAACATGATCGTCCTCACGGGCCTGATCGACATCGTCGTCATCGTCGTCATCATCACAAACACCACGACTATCGCCATCGTCATCGTCACCATCGTCGTCACCACCATCCAGACAGCCACAAACGCTGTTATAATCACCATCCTCACCCCCACCACCACCACCACCACCAACAACAACATCAGCATTATCATGACTGTCAGCATCAGGCTTCATCATCGCCATCATCACCTGTATCATGTTCATACTCCTCATCATCAGCATAATCATTACAGTCACAACCACAGTCAGCATCACCATCACCCCCATCACTACCACAACCACCACTATTACCATCACCATCACAATAATCGCCAGCACCATCATCACAGCCGTTATCATCATCCTCATCATCATCATCATCATCATCATCATCATCAGCATCATCATCATCATCATCATCAGTATCAGTATGTTCAGTATCCTCAGCATCATCCTCATGATAATCATCATCAATATCATCATCACCGCCATCATCATCAGTATCATATCAGCGGCATCAGCCTCAGCATCACCATCATCCTTATCAGAATCAGCATCATCAGCAGCATCAGCATCAGCATCATCATAATCAGAATCAGACTCAGCATCAGCACCCTCATCATCATTCTCATCACCACCGTCAACAGCAACAATAACATCAACAACTACAACAGTCAGTTTACCCTCATGCGCGATGTTTCCACACGATGCATGCGACCATCATGAGAACCATCCACATCATGGGGGACTCTTGTTCTATAGCGAGGTCCGTTATTTCCATTCCCTGATTTCCCGCCCAATGAGGTCTTGCATACTCCTCCACCGAGGAAATTCAACATATCCCGCCTCGAAAACACATGCCCGCGCCTTGCTGCGCCGATGCGAGACCGCCAGTGGAACCCCAGCGAAGGGTAAAGCACAAGGAAGTATCGAACAACAGGATTGCCTTTGTGGGGATGGGGGCTGTCGGCGGTGAGACAAGGACCTGGCCCTGAATAGAAAGGGAGGAAGTCTCGAGCAGGGCTGCTGCTGTTGCTGGGAGTGGCACCAATGCTGAAGAGAGTAGGGCGCCAGTCCAGCGTATAACAAAACGAAGTCTCGAGCGGGAACGCTGGTTTTGATGGGACGGCGGCTTTCGGCGGCGAGGAGGAACACCGCCTTGAGTAAGAAAGGAGGAAGCATCGAGCGGGAGCCGTGGTTTTTGTCGGGACGGGGGCTGTCGGCGGCGAGGAACATCCCGAGGAAAAAAAGGAAATCCCGAGCGGGAGCGTAGTTCTTGCTGGGAGCGGCGCCAATTCAAAAGAGAATAGGGCGCCAGCCCAGCGTAAAACGGAAGGAAGTCTCCGGCGGGAGCGCTGGTTTTGTCGGGGCGGCGGTTTTCGGCGGCGAGGAGGAACACCGCCTTGAGTAAGAAGGGAGGAAACATCGAGCGGGAGCCATAGTTTTGTCGGGACGGGCGTTGTCGGCGGCGAGGAACAGCACCGTCCCGAGGAAAATGGAGGAAGCCTCGAGCGGGAGCGTTGTTCTTGCTGGGAGCGGCGCCAATTCAAAAGAGAGTGGGGCGCCAGTCCGGCGTAAAACGGAAGGAAGTCTCGGGCGGGAGCGCTGTTTTTGTCGGGGCGGCGGTTTTCGGCGGCGAGGAAGAGTACCGCCTTGAGTAAAAAAGGGAAAAAGCCTTGAGAGGGAACGTTGTTTTTGCTGGGGGCGGCGCCGATGAGAGAAAGACTCGCGCGCCAGTCCAAGGTAAAACGGGGGGAAGTCTCGAGAGGAGCGCTGGTTTCGTTAGGACGGCTGCCTTCGGCGGCGAGCAAGAGCACCAGCCCTGAGTAAAAAAGGAGAAAGTCTCGAGCGGGAGCGTTGCTGTTGTTTGGGACCGGTTTTGGCGGCCCCCCAAACCGCTCGAGCGTGAGCCTCATTTTCAATGAAAATGTAGCCGGCGCCTCGGCGAGAGCGCCAGGGCGCGACAAGGGGTCCAACAATAATCATTGTTTGGGAATTAACGTTCAAAAACAACAACAACAACAACAACAACAACAACAACAACAACAACAACAACAACAACAACAAAAACAAAAACAACAAAAACAACAAAAACAACAACAATGTTAAGACTGTTCGCCCTTATATGCGCGAACGAGCGGGGGCCATGAAGTGCAGATAATGCGGGGCCACAGAAGGCAACTATGGGGTCACTGAGGGTAGCAACTGGGCCACGTAGGACACTGAGGGGGACACAAATGGCGACAGCGGGGCCACGAAGGGCATGCACATGGGGCCACAACGGGCGCGACTCCTGGGTGCCTGGGTGTCGGGAGCGCGGCGTTTGGGCAAATTACAATAAATTCCAACGCAAGGCCATTCTTCAGTAGGTTGCAAGCGTCTCCAGCGAGAGCGCGACTCCAGAGCGCCGGAAGAGCGATTCCTAAATAAATTGTAAGGAAATCCCAAGCGAGAGCGCGATTCCTGAATAAAATGCGAGGAAGTTTCGGGCGGGAGCGGGGGTCCGGGCTAAATTGTAAGGAAGTCTGAGGCGGGAGCCGTTGTTGTTGTTGTTGTTGTAACCCAGGGGCCAGGGGCCCAGTTTGAACATCAAGACTTTCCCTGTCAAAAAACAGGGTGCGAGCGTCGAGGGGCACACTTTGATTGGGAAACAAAAAGTATGCACTGGTGGGGGATCAACAATAATTATTCTTCCGAAGTGGGAATTCAACAACACCAACAACAACAACAACAACAACAACAATCATTTTACCCGAACGCGTGGTGTTCTCCCCAGTGCCAGGGTTTTCATACGACACCAGGCAATACCCCCACTTCGTGGGGGGGCATTACAAGCTCTACCAAATATCCAAACGACTCTTCGCGACCACCCAAACCCAGCTTCCCGCCCTATGACGTTGGGACACTTCACTTCGTGGCGTGCGGACGACCGTGGCTACTACACTGGCGTGGGGTACACACCCACAGAACCCAATGGTTTTTGGAGATTTCGGCGTGCGCGCGCGAAGAAAAAACGAATGTGTCCCGCATGGTATTATTTGACAGGGATGATGGCCCTGGCAGGTGCGCAACCGTTGTCGCAGAAGTTCGAAAAAGTTGCTCGCAAAAGCCCGTTTGACAGAAATGTTTAAAAAGTGTTGGGTTTTCCTACGAATCCGCAAGAGCGCGCGGGATGAGATTTTGACATTTTTTTGTTGAAAAACCATTGGTTTTTTGATGTTTTTATGTTGAAATCGCTCCGAACACTAAGCTTTTGGAAGGATTTCGTCTTGCGCGCGCGAATGTCCACTTTACCTTATTTTTTGCAAGGGATTCTTGAAATTTGATTATATTAGAACAAGAAATGTCATTTTATAGTGTTTTTTGCAAGGGAAAACGGATTACAACAAAACAACCGGATCTTGATCACATCGAATTACCTGAGGCTTCCTCACGAAAATGATGAAAATGTAGCTGCGGCCTAGGCGGCGCAGGGGGGCCGCGCACCAGGGGTCCCAACAATAATTATTCTTTAGAAGAATTAATGTTAACAACAACAACAACAACAACAACAACAACAACCAAACAACAACAACCAACAACAACAACAACAACAACAACCAACAACCAACAACAACAACAACAACAACAACAACAACAACAACAACAACAACAACAACAGCAACAACAACAGCAACAGCAACAGCAACAGCAACTGCAACAGCAGCAACCGCAACAGCAACAGCAACAGCAACAGCAACAGCAACAGCAACAGCAACAACAGCAACAACAACAACAACAACAGCAACAGCAACAACAACAACAACAACAACAACAACAACAACAACAACAACAACAACAACAAGAACAACAACAACAATAACAACAACATCAGCATCGCCATCGTCATCGCCATCATCAACGTCGGGTCTCAGTTCCGAGACGGGCCAGGCCTGCCCAAACGACCCGACCTTCGCACCAAAAAGATATCAGCCAACATCGAATCGGGAAACCGGGCCGGAGCGGAAACTGCGACGGATCGGGCTGCACCGGCGCGGGGTGGAAATCGAATCGGATCGGACGCGGGACCCCAAGGAGCATCAAGCTCCTTGGGGCCCCGCGGCCGCGGCATGCACTCGTCATTCGTCGAAGACGCGAGGCGGGATACCCAGCGAGCCCCCCGCACACTCTGGGCCTGACGGCCGCGGTATGCAAGGTGTTCGAGGCGGGTCGGGAACGAGTTATTTGATCGAACAACCCCTGCCGAGGAGGAGGAGGAGGAGGAGGAGGAGGAGGAAGAGGAGGATGAGAAGGAGGAGGAGGAAGTGGAGGAGAGGGAGGAGGGGGAGGAGGATGAGGAGGAGGAGGAGGAGGAGGAGGAGGTTTGGCTTGGGTAGGCCCTGAAGGCGGTGAGTCAAAACTAGCCTCCTGACTCGGACTCCTCCTCAAATTCGGAGTCCTCGGAGGCGGCGGCTGCTCGCTGGATGGCACGCTGCCCCATCTCGAGCACCAGTGGGCGGTCCTCGACCGTCAGCCCATAGGCTCGCAGAACCTCGTCCTTCCCGCCCACCTCCGCCCGCCCCCAAGTCGAACGCGACAGAGCGGCGGCGGCGGCGGCAGGGGGGGCCCCAATGGCATCCGCCTGGGCCTGCAGAAACCCATGGGCCACGGGCATGACACCGTGGGGCTGGTCGAGGCGCAGGTCCTTCACCCCCTTCCTGTAATGGGGGAACTGCCCTTTACAAATCCTCCGCAGCTGGTCCTGGGCGCCTTTGCCCGCGTGGCCAGAACACTCCTCCGAGAGCGACGGGGTCAGCTTGCCGTCTGAGCAGACCGCTCCACAACGGCAGCAAAACATCACAAAACTCACATACGGGCTTTCTCTCGAGACATCGGCTTGCAGCAAGAGATGCCGCCGAAAACGAAAACTGATCCTCGCGAA